CAGTCAGGCGCCCTGGTCCTTTAACCGCGTTACACGTCACTTCAAGCACATCGCCAGGTCTTGTCGTTTGGCCGATAAACAATTTCACGGCATTTATGGAAATAATTATTAACAAAATTATGACAGAAAAGCAACAGCCTTACTTACTATATATTGTGTATCGCTAAATATTTGAAACAAACTATTAAACTCTCTTATCCTTGTCAGGGGGCTGAAGCCAATCCCAGCAGGAGGCAGGCTGCACCGTGGTCACCAGTCTGACGCAGGGCTAACACATAAACAGACCACTCACACTGACACCCGTTACCAGTTAACCTAACCTGACTAACTGTGTGTCTTTGGAGACGAACACTTGGTTTAAAAAAAGAAAACGGAGGATAAAATGAACATCCAGTGAGAAGAATTCAGTTTGTAGTTTTTATACATTTCCTATGAATCAGATGTAGTTACATGTGGAGCTGAAAAGATTTTTGTGTTAATCAGCAAGTCAACAACCCCATTTCTGAAAAGGTCGGGACGGTGTGTAACATATAAATCAAAACGATGACATCATTTGAAAATGCTTAACACGAAAAAAGTGCAGAAACAAGCTGGTGGGTCTACACTCAAACAGCAGAGTTATTAGTAACGTTGATCCCAGAGGGATTCACTACACTGAGCAAACAGTCCAACAATTATAGTAAAACAGTTGATGGATTTCATCATCTATGCTACATAATGTCATTAAAAAGATTGAGAGGATCTAAAGACAAAGCTGAGAGCAGTTTGAATGGCTTTCACGTTCAGGCCCTCGTCCTCGTCCTCGCAGGTGGGCAACCTCCACGAGACCTTCCACGAGCCATTATCAGCATCTACATGTTTTTAAAAGAGATCAATCTTAATCCAAATTCATGATTTTCCTATTCATCACCCTCCCGCTGCTATGCGAGCTTACATTCTCCGTTTGTGTTTGTTTGTCGCGTTCAGCTGCTGTCGCCTATGCATCACTTAACTGTTACAAAATGAGCATTTACAACACAATTTTATAATTTTATTAAATATTAATAAACACGCTCCAAAAACAGGACCATCAGCTTTTAGAAATGATGGATACGGTGTAATACGGGTGATGGTTCATGTGGGGAATTCTTTTTTTAATTGTTCTCCCAAATCTCAGCAATCAAAGGACAAAACTTTATTCTGTCACACAAAATACTCTTTATATTTTTTAAAGGTCGGGTTTGTCACCAATGACGTCTTAACATTTATACCATTTAACAGTGTCATCTTGCTAATGGTTGCAATCCTCCAAAGTGACCTCACATCCACCAGCAGCAGATGTGCTTTAGTGTTGTGTTGCCTGCTCGTGCACCTCTGGGATTTTGTAACCTTGTGTGGGTGATGTGGCTGGCACGGGCTAAAGACGCGAGTGTACACTCACGCCAGCTTTACGACCGTTTTCGTGATATTTCTGCAGGAGCTCAGATATTCCCACCGTACAGACGTCGCAACTGTTTGAAAACAAGAAGCACTCAGAGAGAAAGCTCGGCCTGGACAGCTCCCTCTCTGCTCTGTGTTTACTTTAAAGCAACAGTGTTGTATTTTCTATGTATTCATTTTGCTGTTTTGTGGTCTTTTTAAACGTACAGTAAAAAAGGTGCAACGTGCAGGCTTTTGTTCAAACATTTTACTGTACTCAACATTATTTTTAATGTATTAGTTATTTATGGATACATGTGTAGCATTCACTTTATTGTAAAGCGTGTTCATTTAAATGTTTAGTCATGAATATTATGTAAAAAAAGAGTTTTTTTTCCAAAATTATTTTATTTTATTCTAGAACATGTATTTAAACTGTTATAACCTGTTACTGTAATGTACATTACAAAGTCATAAAATATATAGTCTTTATTAAAATCCTTTTATATCCCTGATGTCAGTACCAACAATGGCCAAAAGAAACATATTTTAAATAGCAGCACTATGATGAGCTTGATAGAGGTCAGAAATCTTTCTATAT